AGTTAAGTAATATTACTTTATAAAAATAAAAATTAGATTATTTTAAGTTTTTATATATATAAGATTAAAAATTAGATTTTTTAAGTATTTTTTTAAATTTTATATAGAAGATTTTAAACTGTTAAGGATTTCTTAGTAAATACTAGTAATTCTTTAACAATATAAGTTTAACTTACTTTAAAAATTCTCTAATTTTATATAGTTAAGATAGAATTATATAGTATTTTTTTTCTTAATAATATAGCTAATAATATATATAATACTATTTTTAGTATAATTTTATTACTAATATATAGATTTATTTAAGAGATTTAAAGTTTAAGGAAAGTAGTGGGAAAAGGTGGCCAGTCTGTAGGGGTGGCCTGTCTTTGGGTGGGGGACGTTAAAGTCAGACTGCTCACTTCCAACACCAAGTCAACCAATGGCAAGGCTGGAGCGCCATATGACGAACGAACATGTTTGCTGATCGTGGCTCCTTCGCTTCACATCCTTGTTCAGTCTACAGCCCTGTGTTTCTGTATGAGTGCTCGTACAGTATGTAGATGCGATCCATCTCTGCGTCTTGTCCTCGGCATTCAAAGGTCCGAAACCTGTGGCCCCAGCTGGACGATCATGGATGGATCTTTGTTTCTTGGAGACGCTCGAGTCCATTGAGACGGTTTCTTTGTCTGATTTCTTTGTCGTCTTTGTTGGTGTGCTACAAGTAAAACTTCCCCTCACTAACCTAAACTCAAGATATGTTGATCTTTTAGTTAGACAATAAGAATTGACTTTAACCAATACGATATTCAGCCATGCATGCGCCATGATTGCTCAATTGACTCAATGAAAAGGCTGAAAATTTAGCTTCTGATTGCTAAAAGAGGTAGAATACTAATTGCCGGTAACCGCTGGCCCCCTCCTCTCGAAACAAAGCTCTCAGTTAAACCATCACTATTGTCGTTAGCTCAGATGGGCGTCACCTTTCCTCTCACCAAGCACAGCCTCCGCTGCCAAGCTGATGTTTTCGCTGACACTGCAGCAACCCTCCCTGTTCTTCACAAGGTTTACCAGGGTCCTTCCCTGCCGCCATGAAGAATGATGTGAGGGGAAAGCTGGGAGTTGATGGCATTCGGCGCAGAGTCTATGAGAAGTCCAGCAGCATCGACTGATTTCTTGAAGCTATTTTTGAAAGCCTTCCGAACAATCCCAACAGATGGACAACTCTGACGCATGGTTTTTGATTTTGCACGAATAATCTCATGCCCTCCAATGGGTGGAAAATTAATGTCGACATCTTGAGACCGCGTCTTGACGCGACCAAAGAGAAGAAAAAAAGCGCCAATTGTTTACTTCGAACCGCTTTTGGCATCAAGCTGTCTGCATCCAACCCACACCATCCAGTTCTTTGGTTACATTGCATTGCATTGCATTGTTCGTACCTGGAAGATGCAGCTTTTTGAGTGCGCGGCTCCGACCTTGTGACCGAGGACAACACGATATCCAGCGGCTCATCTTCGAGAATTCAGCAATGGCCCTGGTCAATGTTGTATCGACACAACATCATCAGTTGATATCAGAATCAGAAACACAGCTTCGGCCTGGGTTATACACGAATCTTCAGGTTTCATAGTAACAGGCTCAACCCATTGGTCTCTCTGTACATGGCCTATGCTTGCTCGTTTCTTAGCTTCCATATATCAAACCGCCTAGGTAAGGATGGAGACTCCATCCTTTCCGGTCAGTTTCCACCAGAAGTACAGTAACCGTTACGAATCTCCATCATGTTTGGTGGAGCTATGTCAATCGCTATACTTTTGCCTCTGTTCCCTGAACCTCACCAAGATTCAAAACTCGGCGGTCAATGCAGATTAATCCCCCTCTTGCTTGGTCGAAGCCTTCCCGACAGCGCGGGCCTGTTGGATCTTGTTCTCCGAGGGTACCACGCTTGAAGATTTTTTAGACTGTTACGAAGGTTCAATGGTGTCGCTGTCGAGCCAAAATAGATGGCGTGTTTTTAGTGACATGCGATGACGAGACAATCTAGACACTGCCTGGCTGGACTCTTCTTCTCAGCCATCCTCATCAGCCTCGATCTGCCTTAGCAGTACCAAAACGAGCTGTGGCAGGTTTCTTAATCAATTCAAGATCGCCAATCTCGATTTCAGTTCCGACAAGTCTGTCTCAATCAAGTTATCGCTCGGCTTCGTGGGCGGGGGATATTCCTGTTTAGTGGCGTCTAAAAGCCTCTCGAGGGATTATCAATGGCTAAAGCGAACAATAACACAGCTGAAAACCAGGTTTATCCTTTCATGCTATAACGAATTCGAGCAGACCTACATTAACCTCTGTCGCAGTATCGGGTCGGCCTTTGACAGATTGACGGATCGTTCGCACCCAATATGCCAAATGCCTGTCAAAACTCCCTGTAAGTGCCCAGAGTTCTTGAACTTGGACGACCCGGCCAGGAGGACATGGCCCAAGTGCGCGCTGCGCAATATCTTTATCGTCGATCCACGACCTTAATTCCCGATCCTCCCTTCTGGCACCGTCTCAAGATTCGACGTCATTCTTGGCCGTGACCGTCTTTCTCTTATTAAAACATCGTCATCGCACTGGAGTTGAGTTGCTATACGGAGAGTGGTCAAAATAATTAACTGCGCAAACGGGTCGGCCCAAGTCACGGTAAGCACACACTGCCGCTTGTCTAAGCCGAGCCTCATCGTAGGCCATTGCGCATGCCTAATGAAGATGGCTATCGAAGAACTTGCAATCCCTTGCATTGCGGCCCGTGGGTAAGCAGACTCAAAAGAGCCAAGAGCAGCGGCTTCGCACGCTTTGGGTTCTCTCAATAGTTCAACTCTAGCTGCCACTTACCAGCTATCAAAGGCCGAGAGGCGACGGCGTAGGCTAGTAGCTATACGGATACACTCATAGTATCATCTCACCTTAGCTTTTATTGTTTACTTGATTGACATCTCCCCAGAGACGAATGACACTGCAGAAGCCGGGTTCCACGTTGTGGTGAGCTGCAGCCAAACCCCCATAATTTGCAAGAGTCGCCCTCAGCGACCCAATCGCTTCGCATCAGTCGGTTAGTTCGCTGCTCGTCAGCTCTCCAGCTCGTCTGAGGATCCATTAGCACCTCCTAATGTGGGATGGACTCACGGCTTAGACTCCACCACGTCACCCCTCCCTCAAAGCCCTCCCGACGCTACCAGAAGCTCACCATCCCTGAGCCCTACCAGACTTCAACGCGAGAGCGTCTCCTGACCGTCGAATGAGGGGTAATCGCGACGATAAGTTCCCTTCACTAATGTGATGGTGTGATGGCGCGTGCAGAAATCTGTTAGAGAATTGACATGGGCACTGAGAGTCGCGAGTGCTTGCTACGGCGCAGTTGCAATTCTTACCATGTTCCCAGTTCCAGCGTCGTGGGGTAATTGAAGGGTGATAATTCGCACCCGCTTTCCAAAGTAAACAAATACGAAGCGTGTCGCGTCTTCTTTTTCTTCTTTTTCTATGGGTCTAACGCGCCGTCACGTGCATTTTTGCTCACCATCTTCTGGCTTTCTTTCGCTTCGTGAACGAGAAGATGGATGAGTTGGATATCCGAGACTCCCGTCCCTACCACTTTGTCGATTGTTTGATATCTTGCTAATATTCTGGACAACCCTACTTATTGCTCAGCTTTGAATCGTTCCTAGCTTCGAAATGGCCTCACCATTGGCGGACGCTAAACTTAGCCAATCTCTCCAGTCTATCGTTGATAAGGATGAGATTCGCTCTGTAATCTACAAATTTGTTCGTGGCGCAGATCGCAAGATCCGCCATCTGGTCCAATCTGTTTATCACCCAGATGCTATCGACAATCATGGCTCGTTTAATGGGCCTGCGAGGGACTTTTATGATACAATGACTGCTTCTGATTCGACACGTGCTGTGCATCACCAAATCGGCCAGTCTTTGATCGAACTTGGACCGGATGGCACAACTGCAAGTGCTGAGACATACTGCACCGCCACAACAGTCAACGAGGCTGACGGCCAAGAGACCTGGATTACTTTCTTGGTCCGATATGTAGACCAATTCGAAAAGAGGGACGGATCATGGAAGATCTCGCACCGTTTTGTTGCCTTTGATGCCGTCTCGGACAAGGCCATAATGCAATACTTGCCGAAGGCCAACCTGGGCACTCGACATGAGCAAGACTATTCTAGGAAGGTATTGAAAGACTGATGCGATCTCAGAGATCAAACTGCAGCTATTACTATTGACTCCGTAGATATAGATACTCTTGTTAGACACATTCATGCGTCACAGTCACCTATAGCACTACTCCGTGTCGTTTTGTATTATTTATTAATTACCTATGTATTATGTCTTATGTCTTCTTTCTTTCCATCCTGTTCTCAGTAGGTACCTACCTTAGTACTTTAGTGGACCGACCCACGCTCCCGGGATTTCAAGGTGCCAAAAGAGACCCTAGCGCAAACATCAAGTAAAAGTTTACGATCCATATCTTATAATTTGTTTTATTTTTTCTTTGTCGGCGACGACATGTCACAAATAAGAAAAGACGGCTTACCATATCTTGACGTCTCTTCTCCCTTTATCGCAATTTCTTTCCTTTTTTTTTATTCTGACTTTCTTCGTCTTTCAATACTCCCTCTCTGGCCTGTCCTTGTCATTCTGTCTTCAAGCTCTCCCCAGCTTTGATCCTTGAATTGTTGCTCAGGCGATCTACGCTTGAGCTACGGTTGCTAGTACAAGCATCGACCAACATTCATTTTTGGCACCTTCTAGTCCCTTCCTACGAGTCAACACACTCATTTCCCGGGGCCAGGAAGTTAATCGAGCCGGTTCTTGAAGTGAGGCTGTAGACGTAGACTTGGACTTGAGCATTGCATTACATTATATGTCTTGCTATGTCAGTGTTCCGCATACCATAGCTTCCAAGTTCCTGGCCCGATATCCAAGCTTTACACACGTCACTATCATACTACGTGACATTCAATGACATCGCCATATTTGCATTTATATACTCAAAAGTTAATTGGAACTGACAGTAATTATTATTAGCTTTGTTGTAGAATGCCGAAAGACCTAGCACCATGTCACTATGCTCAAGAGTTGGAGCCTCGATCTTTTGGTTCATGCCTTTTGTGTTTTGTTCGTCAACGAATCCCAGTCAGACTTATACATGATTATTCATGCTCAGCATAGACGATTTGCACTATGATGGTTGTACACAGTCTTTCTTTTAACCAACCCCTGCGTTAAGTGTCTCCATCTCGAGGTCTAACGATGAGTGAACACGTTCGCAGTTCACCTTTCCAAAAGCACAGACCTGACGAAAAGGCGGAAATGAAAATTATGTCCAAGCTTTCCAACATGGACTGAGACTGAGACTTGACTCCTCAGGATTCACTAGTATACAGACAAGGTCTTATTTCTGAGGCGTTTACGAAAATTATCGTCTCCGGCCCTGCCGCGACTCCTGGGCATTCGGAAGCCATTCTCATGTCCCGACCCATGACTGTGGCCAGTGGTCAGTGGATTAATCCATTTTTCCGCTGAAAAGGATCCAAGCGTTGACGAAGTCATATTGAAAGCTCCAAATACAGGGTAGCTCAGGGTCAAGATATTCAGGGTCCAGACGTTAGTTTCGTCTTGGATAGCCACGAGCGCAGACAAGTTTTTTATACAATGTGGGCTTTTTAACGTGCCTGACGGGCATGATATTCAGTTACTCGGCGTAGTTGCCCGCAGTACATAGAGCATGAGATATATCTATTAATGTGGTCAGTCGTTGTACGAGGGCAGAAACCACATGGATGTTGTCCGCCTTGTTTTAGCACAGGACAAACCTAACACAACGATATCGAGCTTCATGCTTCCGTCCTGCAACAGCCACGTGAAATAAGTACCACCACGAATCAGAATAAGCATACATGTTTCCCTGCATTCAAGGGCAAATCCTGGGGTACAATTGTGCCTATCGAATAATTCCAATCTAGATAATCCAGGCACGAGGTCGTACTCAAAGAAAAGACACACGGCCTAGGTAATATCCGTTACTCAATGGATGTAGAACAGCACCCAAAGTTAATGAAGCTTAGTATTGAATTGATAGAAGCACATCTGTGTAGGACAGTATTTGCGAACATGCAAGGGTTGGATACACAACGAATGGTATTGGACGAGCTTCGATTGAAGCCTGCATATACGTACGGTAGTCACGACAGTTACTCAGCAACCTATCAGTGAAACGTGACCTTGTTTCCACAACTGCAGCTGGGGCATGGATGCTGACTCTCGATATTTTGCGTCAACTCGGTAACCGTTTTTATACCTGGTTTTGCCCCTTCAGCCGGGGCTGCGTTTTGGCATTTGAAGACGCTCGCTTCTCGGTTGATATACCAGGTCCCCATTGAGCTCCACAGCAAATGTCCGAATAGCGGAAATTATACAGCAGAACTTTCCAAGACGCCACAATAGGAGTATACTGTGTAGTGCTTTTCATCATAAAGCGTGTATATCAGGTTGAGTTTTTCTGAGTGTTCCAGGCTTCTATCCACGAATGGATGAATAAGAGTCTTTCCAGACAAAACCGCAGTTGCCGAACATGAATTGATAATTAGCATCCCTCTTGATGAACATATGAGATATATGTTATTCAAATTCGATATACTCCGTAGATATATCATACTAAGAGCTCCCCTCCTTTTCTTATACCACTTGGTCTAATAGTTTACTCTGAAATCTACAATATCTATTACCGCCACAATTGACCCAAGGACTCTTGCATCTCATTTTTCTAAATCGGTTTATTATTAGTACCCTTTATATGTATTACATCTTTGGTTATGCTTTCAAAGGTAGTGAGCGAAGGAAGGTGTCTACCGCCTCTATGTAAACCGAGAACCCCTTTGCTCGAGGTTCCACAAGTCAACTAGATATGTAATGAGTGCAGTTATATAGGATGATAAAGACCAACCTTAGGTCCATCGAATCCGTTAGGTCAAGCTGAAACGGGGAAGCCTTTTGAAGACAACCGGGGAAATGATCTTCTCGTCAAGGGGGCAACATAGGGACTTTTCTAAGGGCTCAAAAGATAGCTGATAGTCGAGCCTTGCCAGCCTGTGATGATGAGGTTGGAGAGACGGTGTTGAAGCCGGCCACGACGAAGAGCCTTCTACAGCCGGCTGCGTTAATGGTTGTCGCTGTAGGCTTGTCTTATCGGGCTGCGAGAGGGAGGTCTATAAAGACGGAGGCATAGGTAGGTACATGTGATTCGGGTGATTCAAAACAGGGAAACATTCTCTTTGTCGGTCTCAGGGTTATAGCCCGACTAGAACCATAGACAAAGTAGGGACTGACCTATGACCTAGCTACCCGTGTATCTAATAGAGGTGTTCTTCAGGATAAACAGACTGACCACAGAGGACTCATACGAGCTTCTTTATATCTCTAATTTCATCCTCTTTAGACTGCCTTTCCTAGATAGGGAAAAGAAAAACGCCCCTCAAATCAAGAAATTCTACCCAGATCCAGTTTCTTTTAAACGCCGCCCGTGCCAAAACCCAAGAAATCAAGCAGCAGCATCTTCGCCCTCTTGAAGAGTGAAATCCCATTCCTTGAACGCCGCCCGAAAAGCCTCGACGTCTTTCGTCTCCTCCTCAACGGTTTGTTCACAATCCTTCCAAACCAGGCGACTTTCAAGGCCAAGAAGCTTAGCTAGCACGCGACGTCCAAACTGAAGATCGAAGCGTATGTCTGAGGGAAGAGGCATGACGAGGGCTTTACCCTTAATACGGTCCTCGCCATCGTCCGCCCAGAGCCATACACGGAAGAAGTCACCCCCTGACTCGGCCTGCTGTTCGAGTGTGAGCTCTCGAGCGGTGAAAGCTGGAAGAGACTGATTCTCCGCCTCGACCTTGAAAGCGGCTTCCGCGACGCCTTTGCGAATGAGATCGGCCGAGAGAGGCATTAGTTGCCAGATAAGGTGAACATTGCGCTCTCGGCTGATTTCCCACGTCACGACGCCGAGCTTGTGTGAGGTCTTGGAGGCAATCATTGCCTGAACAGCTTCTCGAAATCGTGTCATTTCATTGTAGGTTTTTGCGGCTTCTCCTGCTGGGTCAGTGACATGACCAATGCTCGGTATTGTAGGGTTATGTGGTAGTGGAATGATGATCAAGTGGCCTGGAAAGGTAAGGCCTTGCTCTGCAAATGTGCTCGAGGTTGGCAAAGGACCTTTGGCCGTGGAGATGTAGGCGTCGTCGCCGATACTACAGCACATGTGGGCCGATAGGTTGGGATTTGAGAGACAGAAGTAACACCGATCAGGACCCGGAGGTGGCGACCGATGGTGCTGCTTCTGGCGTCGGCCTCTATGGCCTCTGCTGTTATCATCACCCCCGTATCGGCTGTAAGAATCATCCTTGGGTGCACGCTTCTTCGTCTTAGGGTTGAACGGCGAGGCTGTCGCACCGGGAGGTATTGAAGCATCTCCTTTGTTGAGACTAAAAGCGTACAAAGACTTTGCTTTAGCGTCATTGCCGAAAGGAGCCATTGAAATGAACCGAGTGACGGAGGTGCTGTCCGTTTCCTTTTCGGTAGGATGAACGAAAGCCTCTCGTTCGTAGAAGAAGGCTTCTGGAGAAGCTGTTAAGTGATAGCGTGGTTTGAGCGCTGCACATAGCTCTGCAATATTGTCCGAAACGGCGAGTGACGCTTGGTTTGCGGGATCGAGCGCAACCTGAGACCCAGCCCAGACACCTGCTGGCCATGTCGACGTCAGGAGGATATCAGCGTTGTTCGCGCCGCGCAGGCTCTTTGCGTCATCCGCTGTGTGGAATGGGAGGTGCTGTTCCTTAGATAGTCCTGCAATGAGGTTGGGATCCAATTGGCCACCCAATGCGACAATCCTCACACCATCAGATGTCTTGGTAATGCTGCGCTTGCCTAGGAAATGTAGGTTCTCGCAGATCTCCTCCTCAGCTTCAACCTTAGCAGCAATACGAGGTGGGAGTGGGCGGGTGCCAACGGTGAAATAGGTTGGTAGAGGGACTTCGATGGACCCGACTAGAAGCGCATTCAAAGATTCATCGTCTTGGGTTGCGCTGAAGACATCACCAGTGAGAATGGCCATGGAGAAGTTGTTTTTGGCGTGTAATGTTGCTAGCTTCTTGAACACTGGCTCAAGCTGGCCATTGAGGCTGCCCAAGACAATA